ACTATGTAATGAGCCAAAGCACACAGTGCTGCTCCAAACTGCTGGCCAGACCTTAAGTATTATTTTAGTCAAATATTTAGATATGAGAACTGAAAGCAGGCACAGGAGGTGTAGAAAAGCCAATTTAGCAAGGAAGAGCCACAGAAAACATGGCAGAATGGTTTGCACAGCATTTTGCTGTGATGTTGACACTTTGCTTTCCATCAACATTCACAAAAATGTTTTCAGGATGTGAGTGCCAAGAATTTACTGTTTTTAGACAGGAAATTTTGCTTCTGTTTATTTCACATGTACTGCAACTTACACAGCAAGACTTTTTTATGGATACAATTGTGCTTGCAAATGAATCTGTCCAGCAGCAAGGACAAAATAAGGCAACAGAAATTATCATGTATCAAGAATCTAGATATTACAACAGGAGTAGGCTCTTTCCAGAAAGTACTACAAATAATGAAAGGGAGAGTGAGAAATTAAAAGGAAGAATGAAAAGATAATTTAAGGAAAAACAATAATAGCAACGCTGACATATGAGTAGAAAGAGTGATAAAAATAATGTGCATCAGTTAAAGTTCCATGTGTTTCTTTATCTTCTCTAATTATTTTTAATTCTGTAAAACACAGTACACGATATTTGGGTATTGTAATTTTATTTTCAGGTTCATATCTGCATAAAAGAAAAAAGTTCTAATTTGCTGAACTTAATTAGCAGCATAAACTCTTGAAAGCTAATACAATGCTGAAATTTCTTTGGGACATCATATGGTATAAAAAACCCCCAAACCTGGGATTTATGCAACAGTACAGCATAAAAGCAAATTACCAGCACCAGCAGACAGGTAGCTATTCTTAATAAGGTTCACAGCAAGTTCCCAGAGAACACTTTGCCAAGAGAAACTTCCTAGGAAAATAATCACAGAAAAAAAACCCCTTGTTTTCAAAGGAACAAGCTTTTTTAAACAGCACGTTACAGTTCTGTTCATCTTGGTGCAATAACCATGCAACCAGGTGACTTTCGCAGAGCTATTTTTTCCACTGATAAATCATACAAATGTCACAAAGTTGAAGACTGTACATAAGCTGAAAACTGGATGCCACAGTAAACAGATTTTTATTCAGTAGTGCTGAAATGTGAGCCAAGATCCAAGCTAAAGTTCAGCCCTCCAACTTTGTCTTGACTACTTCCTACTATTATATGTGAGATTCTTTCACACAGCCTCTGAAGTAAGTGTCTGAGCTCCTGTGGGGATTGTTCAAGGAACTGAAGTAATGCTACAAACTCTCCTAAACCCTGTCAAACAAAAGATAAGGCAGAAACCTTTTCTTTTCTCACAGAGTGACATTATTCAGGGACAGGAAACAAAAACTAGAAATTTTTTTTAGGGAAAAAGATACTCAACATACAGCAGTTAGCATTATAAAGCAAAGCTTATCTACGATGATGCTGGAATTTTTTCATTTCTGTAGAATTAAATATATAATAGGGCATAGTTGTACAAAATTGCAATTAGTAGAAACCTTAAAAATTAGTTGTGCCCACTATGAACGTCATAGAAAATGAAAGAAATCAACAGCAACTCACTGAAAAAACTGCTGGTTTTGTAAAAATCACTTCTACATTAATTATATTCATTGTACTCTAACAATCTATCTTTGTAAGACTTCTGCAGCTTCAGATGGTCTTTTAATTAATAATTCAGCCAAAATACTTTTCCAGCCTTGCGCAATTAAATAAATTAAATGATGCTTCTGGAAAGCCAACAGTCTTAAAACAAAGATGTTTAGTTTCAATTTCTCACAAGAGAAAATTTCTTCTGGCAATATGGCTCTTTCAGCAAAGCCTGTTATTCCTCCCTAAGTTTAATATGTTCTTTGGATGTTTTGCGAATTTTCTTTTTGTGGGAGCATTAGCTTTCTAGATTAATGAATACTGAACAGGAATGAGAAAGCATTTCATCAAATTTAGTACTCACTGTAAGTAAGTCTGAATACCAAACTGTTGGTCCCACATTTTATTTCATTAAAGCAATGTATCATTTCTGCTGTGATAACAGAAGCAGTCGGCACTTCTGGAGATCAAAGCAAATTACAAACAAGCCTGCCAAGCTGAACATATGTAATTCTATATGTAATGCTGCATACAATCCACATCCTGACTTAGACTTGTAACTAGACAAAGATCATCTTTGTGTATTTATATGGCCTGTGCTTAGTGCGGTGGTGTGCAGATCCTCAAGCCCTTACTTTAACACTACAACACTATAACCAATAAATTTTGCTTATATGATTGGTGTTCTGGTACACAAAAGGTCTGCAAATAAGCCATTCCCTTTTACACCATGTGAGGAAGTTACTGGTAAGAATTTCAGAGGAACTACAGATTCATTTAGCTTTAAACACCAGGAAAAGTTTGAAGAATTCAGTCTGTCAACACTAGTTATACATGATACTTCACTGCAGTGTTATGAGAAGTCACTCAAACATGAAATACAGGCAAAATTTTTACACCTGATAATACTCCCAGATTAACATCTCGGCATGTCTCCGATACAGGCTTCAAGTTTACTGTTACTTTCCTTCAATAAAGCATACTTTTTCATTTGTCCTTACAATAACAAAGGAGAAACACAAAGTATCATCTGGAGAATTAGACTCAAGTAGACATTTTGTAGAGCTACTTAATACATGGCTGTTCGTGTCTCTGGAGGTTAAAGATGAAACAAAAGGCACTTTGGGTACTTCACAACTATTCATAAGTTTTAGCTCCAACTCTGTAAAAAAGAAAACCTACCTATTGTCTCTACTAGTGAACTAAATACTTATTCTATCAACTATCAGGAAAAAATTAATTAATTCTGTTAGAATGATTAAGTTACACTTTTTAGGCAGAAGCAGTATCTAGGAGTTCAAAAGCACGTATTTCACACAAGGCAGAAAAGGTACTGAAGCTTTCACAGTGTTTCTACGTGTACTGGAGGAAATCACACTCCCTCAGGTGAAATAACTGGAAAGAAGTAACTATATACTATGTCAAGCCAACCGAAGCTAAGATAATAAAGAAAAATGGGCAATAAATATAGGAATGTCCCTCATATGTGGTCAACTAACTAGGAGATGTAACTGTTTCTGGACTATGGTGTCAATACTTCATTTTTTTTTCAGACACATGGACATGGTACAGGTAAGAGAAAACAAAAAGATACTCCCTGCACTCAAACATACTCCTGATGTCTGTACTTTAAAATTTAAATACCTCATAAATAAGCATAATGGACTAGAACACTTGATCATATAAATTCACATGCAATCCTTAAAACAGCCTCTTGCCACTGGCAACAGAAGTCAGCAGGTATGGAACTAGACACCCTCGAAAGCAAGGGGACATTTGGATGGCTTGCTTTGTTTGCAGCAATTTATTCACAGCACAGTAGATAAAAACACCCATTGGTAATGTTCAAGAAGCTAGAAGCACCAGTGAACTTTTTTAATAGCCTAATTATGTATTAGGAAAAATATTTAGAAAAGTAATTACTAAAGGTAAGTAGAGGACACAGGTACAGAGGTAAAGTCACTTTCCAACACAGAAAAGATCTGCTGTATCATTAATAGCCTGAAAACTGCTTTTTTTGGTAATGCTTTGGAGATATACATCTTGCAAGAGAGATTTATCTCAAGGAATGAGAAAAATACACACACATAACAACTTTTTCTATGTCCCTCCTACCACAACCACCTTACCTTTGGGATTTTACATATGAATAAGAAAAAACCCAATGTAATTCAATATCATCCTCTTAAAACAGTCATAACAGAAATTGAGTCTTTCCTGAAAGGGAGCCAAAGAAAAGAAAACTGCACTACTGGTATCTTTTGCAGCTGTTTATATCAAATATTTCTTTCAATTAAGACTGCATAGGAATAAAACTAGATGGTTTTTAGAGGCAAAAGAAAGGCACACAAGGAAACTTTAGAGAAAGGGTGGTGGGGATCACAAATTAAATCCTAAAACTAGGCAGTATTCATGGAGAAATATGCCTGTCAATCTACAGGTTGAAGGACCCAGCCTCAAAGGCTATGTAATAACATTATAGAACCAATTTAAAAATCAATGTAACATGGTTTCTAATACACTGAAACTTTTAAATGCGGTTTACATAAAGTAATGTTAACCTCAGCTATCAACAGGTAACATGTTCTGAATCTTGCACAACTGAACTACAATGTGAGTAGCGCCAGCACAGAAAGGAACCACGTATGTAAGTAAATCATTAGTCTAAATCAAGGATGGCCACCTTCCACATGCTCAGGGGCCCTTTTATTCCCAGCCACATATCAAGGTAAAATCAATACAGCCATATTTCTCTGTGGCTAGTCCTGTTAGACCCAACACCCATTCATACCTCCACTTTCTTCCCCAACAGCAGGCACAGGACTGTGCCACCCCTTGAGGTGACCTCCTGAGCACCCAGCGCTCCTGAGAGCCCACAGGCTGTCAGCATGTCCTCTGTGGTCTTCCTCACTTACAACAGATTATGGCCAACTTTTACTCTGCCCTTAAAGTCAACATGAAACAGTTCCCTAGGTAGTCCTACAATGAATGTTATCTGCAGACTGTGGTATTTTGGGGAAAGAGAAAATGAGACAAAACATACAAGTACAGTTTTCTTTCTTTCCAAAAACTATCTTTTTGTGGTGATGGCTTCTAATGCATACATTCCAGTCTGTCTAAAGCTAGCACCACAACTGGAAGATGACATAAAACCAAGAAGATATTCTTCCTCTAAAAATATACTCTGCCTCTTGAATACTGCCCACTTCTGAAAAAAGGACTGGAAGGTCTTAAGGTGACTACACAGAGAGTTCAGATTTCAGAAGGACTGTCTTGAGTTTAGTACCTTAGAAGAGTTCAAATTACAAAAATAATTGCTATCTGAATCACACAGTCATAAAATCAAGGTGCAAAAAGCAGCACTGAAAGATTTTTCTCCATTTGACATACTCACCAAACCTGCAATGGGGGTCGGTAGTCTATTGATCTTTTTTACCAATCCCGGCTTTATTGCATTCAGCAACCTGTTACGAGAAAGGAGTATTTGTGAGTGGTAAGTCACAAAATCCAAATTATCAAACACTTGTTCCCGGCAGATAAGAATTTCAGTATGGCTGGAAAAAAAGAGTCTCCCTTTTCTCCCCTCCTGAAAACACACGTGTACCCAAAGTTCCACAACTGAAATGAAGAAAGACTAGAAGGAAAAATATCCACAGCACGGTACCTCAGCAATATTTATTTTACGTCCTAAATTGATCTAGATCACATCAGTCTTGACAGGCTCCGGGTGAATTTTGTCACATCAGTCTGCCTCATTGCCTAAAGGCAAGTCTTGCCTAGAAGGGCATGAGAGCAGAAACCCAGAAGGCATCCGGGTATCACCACAGCTTGGGAAGAACAGTCTGGCAGTTACTGCACTGCAGGAAAGTGAGAAAGGACATACACTGTATGGGTGGCCTGTCGTATTTTTCTGCATCTGTACTTGAAATTAAATGCCATCCTTGCATAAGTTGTGGAGAATGGAGGTCCCCATAAAACATAAATGTGAGAAGACAAATAAAAAGGGAGCTCAAAAAAACCCACCTCACCATGAAAACATCATTAGGCCAGTGATACCACAGTTGAACACTGTTCATTGTCCAAAGATTAGCAATCCCCCCCAAGAAAGTTCCCCACCACCCATGGACATGCTGACATGGCTGACTGTTAGAATATTCCAAAAAATGACCAAGCCTCTAAAAGTGGGGAATTTTAATTATAAAATCCTGTTGCAACAAACACTGTTTCTTTACCACCCTTCCACCAAGAGAAAACCCTTATGCCTTTTATCCGCAGGAAAACTGAACCAGTCCCATCCATTGGGAAGAAAATCATCAGGTCAAGACACTCACTTCAAATTCAAGATCTTTGAAGAGAAACAAAGATGTCTATGATAATTTAAAACTCTTAAAAATGAGAATAGCCACTATGGAAGAGGGGAATCTCACTTTGTGCTGACACCGTCTCCATTCAAGAACCGACTCTTCTGGCAGCCTACCATGGTGGTAAAATTTATTAATATTTAATTTTTGAGAGGTCTGGCTAAGAAGTTTATCCATACTAAAAGAATATTCCTTTCAACTAAAAGCTAAGTCTGTGATTGTTTCCAGCTCCCTACTTCTGAGCTAAGATAACATGGGGTGTGTCACTCCTATAGGCTCCACAGAGAGCCATCTCTCCACACTGTCACGTTATTTACTGTTTGATTCCTTCTTAGGACTGTGGCAGTTAGCAAGCTCATTAAGGAGTCCATCCTTCCCAGGGGTGGATACCTGGCTTTGTTAACATTGAAATGATTGCTTTTCCACACCTCTTTCTTTTTTCCCCGGAAATAGTATATTGGTCGGGTCTGTGCAATCACTTGGAGAGAACAGGGGAAATGCTATTCTAAATGTTCTCTATGATCACAGTCAATAAAGCTTCTATCTGACCTGTTCTAAGTTGTACTTGTGTTATTACACACTTGGAATCCCAACATCTCCAGCACCACCATAATCAGGAGTGGCAACAAACCCAATGTGAATGACATTTTTTGGAGCTGGGTGTATTTTCTTGATCTTCTTGCAGTTAAAAACTCTGTAACCCAAGCTCATACAGGTGGCTGTAGTATTCCTGCCTTCTGCTTACAGTAGACTCTAACACTATTATGTCCTAAAAACAAATGATGAAAGAACATACTTTTATATACAAACAATTCACTTTTTCCCCCTAGATGCACAGAATGGCAAGAAAAAAATGCATATCTCCCTTTCTATAACCATGATTTTATTTCACAGATAGAAAACAAATACTACTGCTTCTTCCCCCAAAAGTCACTAACCTATCTTTCAGCCTTGCATAGCAGCAACCTTAAAAAAATATTATTTTCCATTTAGCTGCTGCAACAGTCAATTTAAGGTGGGGGGGGTTGTTGTTTTTTTTTGTTGTTGTCCTGGTTTCAGCTGGGATATAGTTAACTGTCTTCCTAGTAGCTGGTACAGTGCTGTGTTTTGAGCTCAGTATGTGAAGAATGTTGATAACACTGATGTTTTCAGTTGTTGCTCAGTAGTGTTTAGACTATAGTCAAGGATTTTTCAGCTTCTCATGCCCAGCCAGGGCACCTGACCCAAACTGGCCAACAGGGTATTCCATACCATGTGACGTCCCATTTAGTTTAGGAACTGGGAAGTGGGGGGCAGGGAATTGCTGCTCCGGGACTGGCTGGGTGTCGGTCGGTGGGTGGTGAGCAATTGCACTGCGCATCATTTGTACATTTCAATCCTTTTATTACTACTGTTGTCATTTTATTAGTGTTATCATTATCATTATTAGTTTCTTCTTTTCTGTTCTATTAAACCGTTCTTATCTCAACCCACGAGTTTTACTTCTTTTTCCGATTTTCTCCCCCATCCCACTGGATGGGGGGGGAGTGAGTGAGCGGCTGCGTGGTGCTTAGTTGCTGGCTGGGGTTAAACCACGACAGTTGTGGGTTTTTTTTTTGTCAGAGCACTTTTTTCCAAATACTGTAGCTCTGTTGTGATTTCAGTTGTCGATCTGCCTACTCTGTCTCAGAGGAAAAAGGATATATTAACTAAGGCATCTCATTTTCTTTATTACTTAAATGTGAATACATCAGGCATCATAACGAATATTGCAGGTGCAGATCAAAAGCCATAGACAATAATAGAAAGTAAAATAAAGAGGTCTTAATGGAAACCAAAGTGCCAAAGCCCATTCTAAATAAATCCTCAAAATGGCTTGTACAGGCTTCCCTGTGAAATATGGGAGAAGGATAAAATGAGAGGAAGGAAAGGAGCAGGGAATAAACAACGTTTTAGATCACTGTTTGGAGTCTGAAGAGGGAGGAAATGGGATGGGGCAAGATAGAAAAGCCTGAGGAAGAAAGGTCTCTATTATTAAAATGTTTATCTCCTGTTGGAAACATCTCTAAACAGTCCAGCACCAAACCCCCAGGACTTGCTCACTGCAGAACGTGCCAAAGGGAGATTTCTTCCAGAGCAGACTGGCTGCTTCTGAATTATTGCCTCATCTACAGCAACAGCCCAGATGCCAAAATATCGAGTGGCTTAAGCTTGCTCTGCCACCAACCTGGCAGAAAAGCTGTACTGTTTATGCAGAGTACCTCAGTGGTTGCTTTCACTCACACAGTTACTATCTGTCCCTGCTTCTCGAAAAAGCCACTGAATACACCTCTTCCTACATAGGTCAATACACACAAACTAAGTTTTCTGCGCCTATTTAGACTCATACAGAGCATTTGTCTTGATATGTAAAGTTTTATCAGCTCCACTAGGTTTCTGTTGAAATACGTGGCAAACAAAAACCCTAGCCATTTCACACCGGGGACCTGGCACAAAGCCCTCGGCCAGGGCCCAGGCAAAAGAGTCTGTAGGGGAGAAAACACCAACCCACACCTTCCCCTGGCAGCCCCCTACAACTGCAGTCCCACGCTTCCTTGCCCTGCCAACCCTCCCCAAAGGACTTGGCTGCCCTAGGCCTCCCATCCCCAGCCATGTCTCGGATTAAAGAGCTTGCAGGGGAGAACACTCACAGCGCACACCTTCCTCCGGCAGCCCCACTGCATCTGCAGCTCCAGCCTTTGTCTGTCCCCCAGTCCTAACACTAACTCTAATCCTAACCCTTGGCTCATTCTGAGGTGAAGACACTCAGACGTGACCCTAGCGACCAAGTTCACAGAGGAGAGAACATTTGCAGCCTAAATCTTCCTCCAGCCCCACTACACTGGCCCCGTTTCCAGCCCCATTACAGCTATAGCTCTGCGCTTCGTCACTCTCACAGCCCTAAACCTCACCATAATAGCGTGTGTTCACCTGTTAATAAACACTTGTTATTTTTCTGTGCCACTCAAAAAAAGATTTTGTAAAAAAACCCCACTGGTTAACCGTTCAGAAACACTGGCAACCAGTACATGGCAGAGTACTGTCCTGCCTACTGCACTGCAGACAGCAGAAAAGTCAGACATCAGGCACTCATCAACATGACTGTTACCAGAAGCAGCTACTTTTCTGCACTTAGCTGCACAGCAAGTCTAGATACCTGCGCTGTAAGCATCGACGGACAGGGGAACAATTCCAGCATCTGTTGTCCAACCTCACACTTATCTCTGAACATTTTGTATGGCATACAGAAGTCCTATTGAGGCTTTCTGGTACCTTATATAACCAGTGTTTCTCTGACATGACTGGAAGGAAGATACAATAATGAAGTTTCAAGGAACTTCTAACAGTAAAAGGAGCAAAGACATGACAAAAAGAAATACAGATAAAATAGTTCTTAAAAAAAAAAAATCAAACAAAATATGATGAAGGCAAAAAACCCCAACAACCCCACCGTACACCCAAAAGACAATAACCCAAACCAGGATAAAACCAAGCCTCTTCACGCTCCATCCACAAAACCTGAGTCTCTATACACACACCTGACCTATTCTCCAGACCCTTCAAGGCGCTCAGCTGTGATTTCTGCCCACCACCCCTAGCATTTACACACCTGTCCCGAGTGAGGACAATCCTCTGTTCTTCACTTCTCAAAGTCCTCCTGCCACTTTCAGTCCAATATCCACACATCCATCCTCCCTTTCCCCTGTGCCAGGTGCTGGCTCAGACTCTTCGGTCATTAGCTGTTAAATGAAGCACAGTAAGACACTGCATAGAAGCTAAAACCTTAGAGCTGTCTTACCTTATGGAAATGACAGTGCATGATGGAAATGGAAAACCACTCCATCCCCACTTATAGGGAGAAGCTAGGTCATTTCCTTCCCCTGATAAAAGCAAGATCTGACAGGTATGGGAAAAATCAATTGCTCTGTTTGGTGCTGTCCCCAAGGCTTGGCATTCCAGGAGATAAGGTATCTCCTCAGCAGGACAAATTGCAATCAGTACTAGCCACCATGTGACTAACCTATTAGACCTTCCTGGAGTTGTTTATCACCAGTTAAGAATTTGAAAAACTTCTGCCAGGAAGA